AGGGCACTTTAGGGAACAATTTGGTCCATCTTGATCGGATATGCAATCCGTTTTGACCTCAGACAATTAGGGGCCGAGTTATAAACGACTTGACCCATAATCAAAAATTTTCGAACTAAAATTTCGAATAAACTGAACGAAAAGGGCACTTTAGGGAACAATTTGGTCCATCTTGATCGGATATGCAATCCGTTTTGACCTCAGAGAATTAGGGGCCGAGTTATAAACGACTTGACCCATAATCAAAAATTTTCGAAAAAAAATTTCGAATAAACTGAACGAAAAGGGCACTTTAGGGAACAATTTGGTCCATCTTGATCGGATATGCAATCCGTTTTGAATTCAGACAATTAGGGGCCGAGTTATAAACGACTTGACCCAAAATCAAAAATTTTCGAAAAAAAATTTCGAATAAACTGAACGAAAAGGGCACTTTAGGGAACAATTTGGTCCATCTTGATCGGATATGCTATCCGTTTTGACCTCAGACAATTAGGGACCGAGTTATAAACGACTTGACCCATAATCAAAAATTTTCGAAAAAAAATTTCGAATAAACTGAACGAAAAGGGCACTTTAGGGAACAATTTGGTCCATCTTGATCGGATATGCAATCCGTTTTGACCTCAGACAATTAGGGGCCGAGTTATAAACGACTTGACCCAAAATCAAAAATTTTCGAAAAAAAATATCGAATAAACTGAACGAAAAGGGCACTTTAGGGAACAATTTGGTCCATCTTGATCGGATATGCTATCCGTTTTGACCTCAGACAATTAGGGACCGAGTTATAAACGACTTGACCCAAAATCAAAAATTTTCAAAAAAAAATTTCAAATAAACTGAACGAAAAGGGCACTTTAGGGAACAATTTAGTCCATCTTGATCGGATATGCTAGCCGTTTTGACCTCAGACAATTAGGGACTGAGTTATAAACGACTTGACACATAATCAAAAATTTTCGAAAAAAAATTTCGAATAAACTGAACGAAAAGGGCACTTTAGGGAACAATTTGGTCCATCTTGATCGGATATGCAATCCGTTTTGACCTCAGACAATTAGGGGCCGAGTTATAAACGACTTGACCCATAATCAAAAATTTTCGAACTAAAATTTCGAATAAACTGAACGAAAAGGGCACTTTAGGGAACAATTTGGTCCATCTTGATCGGATATGCAATCCGTTTTGACCTCAGAGAATTAGGGGCCGAGTTATAAACGACTTGACCCATAATCAAAAATTTTCGAAAAAAAATTTCGAATAAACTGAACGAAAAGGGCACTTTAGGGAACAATTTGGTCCATCTTGATCGGATATGCAATCCGTTTTGACCTCAGACAATTAGGGGCCGAGTTATAAACGACTTGACACATAATCAAAAATTTTCGAAAAGAAATTTCGAATAAACTGAACGAAAAGGGCACTTTAGGGAACAATTTGGTCCATCTTGATCGGATATGCAATCCGTTTTGACCTCAGACAATTAGGGGCCGAGATATAAACGACTTGACCCATAATCAAAAATTTTCGAACTAAAATTTCGAATAAACTGAACGAAAAGGGCACTTTAGGGAACAATTTGGTCCATCTTGATCGGATATGCAATCCGTTTTGACCTCAGAGAATTAGGGGCCGAGTTATAAACGACTTGACCCATAATCAAAAATTTTCGAAAAAAAATTTCGAATAAACTGAACGAAAAGGACACTTTAGGGAACAATTTGGTCCATCTTGATCGGATATGCAATCCGTTTTGACCTCAGACAATTAGGGGCCGAGTTATAAACGACTTGACTCATAATCAAAAATTTTCGAAAAAAAATTTCGAATAAATTGAACGAAAAGGGCACTTTAGGGAACAATTTGGTCCATCTTGATCGGATATGCTATCCATTTTGACCTCAGACAATTAGGGACCGAGTTATAAACGACTTGACCCATAATCAAAAATTTTCGAACTAAAATTTCGAATAAACTGAACGAAAAGGGCACTTTAGGGAACAATTTGGTCCATCTTGATCGGATATGCAATCCGTTTTGACCTCAGAGAGTTAGGGGCCGAGTTATAAACGACTTGACCCATAATCAAAAATTTTCGAAAAAAAATTTCGAATAAACTGAACGAAAAGGGCACTTTAGGGAACAATTTGGTCCATCTTGATCGGATATGCAATCCGTTTTGAATTCAGACAATTAGGGGCCGAGTTATAAACGACTTGACCCAAAATCAAAAATTTTCGAAAAAAAATTTCGAATAAACTGAACGAAAAGGGCACTTTAGGGAACAATTTGGTCCATCTTGATCGGATATGCTATCCGTTTTGACCTCAGACAATTAGGGACCGAGTTATAAACGACTTGACCCATAATCAAAAATTTTCGAAAAAAAATTTCGAATAAACTGAACGAAAAGGGCACTTTAGGGAACAATTTGGTCCATCTTGATCGGATATGCAATCCGTTTTGAATTCAGACAATTAGGGGCCGAGTTATAAACGACTTGACCCAAAATCAAAAATTTTCGAAAAAAAATTTCGAATAAACTGAACGAAAAGTGCACTTTAGGGAACAATTTGGTCCATCTTGATCGGATATGCAATCCGTTTTGACCTCAGAGAATTAGGGGCCGAGTTATAAACGACTTGACACATAATCAAAAATTTTCGAAAAAAAATTTCGAATAAACTGAACGAAAAGGGCACTTTAGGGAACAATTTGGTCCATCTTGATCGGATATGCAATCCGTTTTGACCTCAGAGAATTAGGGGCCGAGTTATAAACGACTTGACCCAAAATCAAAAATTTTCGAAAAAAAATTTCGAATAAACTGAACGAAAAGGGCACTTTAGGGAACAATTTGGTCCATCTTGATCGGATATGCTATCCGTTTTGACCTCAGACAATTAGGGACCGAGTTATAAACGACTTGACCCATAATCAAAAATTTTCGAAAAAAAATTTCGAATAAACTGAACGAAAAGGGAACTTTAGGGAACAATTTGGTCCATCTTGATCGGATATGCAATCCGTTTTGAATTCAGACAATTAGGGGCCGAGTTATAAACGACTTGACCCAAAATCAAAAATTTTCGAAAAAAAATTTCGAATAAACTGAACGAAAAGGGCACTTTAGGGAACAATTTGGTCCATCTTGATCGGATATGCAATCCGTTTTGAGCTCAGACAATTAGGGGCCGAGTTATAAACGACTTGACACATAATCAAAAATTTTCGAAAAAAAATTTCGAATAAACTGAACGAAAAGGGCACTTTAGGGAACAATTTGGTCCATCTTGATCGGATATGCAATCCGTTTTGACCTCAGAGAATTAGGGGCCGAGTTATAAACGACTTGACCCATAATCAAAAATTTTCGAAAAAAAATTTCGAATAAACTGAACGAAAAGGGCACTTTAGGGAACAATTTGGTCCATCTTGATCGGATATGCAATCCGTTTTGACCTCAGACAATTAGGGGCCGAGTTATAAACGACTTGACCCATATTCAAAAATTTTCGAAAAAAAATTTCGATTAAACTGAACGAAAATGGCAATTTAGGGAACAATTTGGTCCATCTCGATCGGATATGCTTCCCGTTTTGATATCAGACAATTAGGGGCCGAGTTATAAACGACTGGACCCATAATCAAAAATGTTTGAAAAAAAAATTCGAATAAACTGAACGAAAATGGCACTTTAGGGAACAATTTGGTCCATCTCGATCGAATATGCTATCCGTTTTGACCTCAGACAATTAGGGGCCGAGTTATAAACGACTTGACCCATATTAAAAAATTTTCGAAAAAAAATTTCGAATAAACTGAACGAAAAAGGCACTTTAGGGAACAATTTTGTCCATCTCGATCGGATATGCTATCCGTTTTGACCTCAGACAATTAGGGGCCGAGTTATAAACGACTTGACCCATATTCAAAAATTTTTGAAAAAAAAATTTGAATAAACTTTTTAATCACACTTTTTCATTGCTGCTTTGTCAATTTTTCCAGCGATGGTGGCCAGAGCTCGCGGCTTGCAGCTACCTTACCAGCAGCGTGCCCGAATTCGCGGGTTCGTATGTACCGCACCCTCGCTCCCTGCACTTTCCAATCGTACTTCGTACTGCTGTTCTTCTCGCCTGCTATTAAGAATTTATATACCACTCAGATCTATATTTACATTGCTCCGCATCCTCAATTTCTGCCTTTGCTATAATACGCGTCGATTTCTCGTTATGTATTTTTTTGCTGCCAGCTGACTGGTTTTGCGCATTTCGGCGGGAAACAGGCAGCTGCGCAGCCACGTACCCACCCCTTTTCACATTTTCCCTTTGTCCGTGCAAATAGTTCATAGTGTCGTGACTCCGCTTCCTGCACAGACCGTCCGTGCTAATAGTTTATTGTGTCGTGGATTTGCTCACGGACCGTCCGTGCAAATAGCTTTTATAGCACTTTATTGCTAATTTGCACGGACCGTCCGTGTAAATAGAATTACTCCCCTCGAATACCCGACTAATTCGACCCCAAATTAACGGCCACCCTCGTTAACCCCCATTAGGCGACAATTTAAAGACAACGCCCCCTTTTTCCGACTAAAATTCAACCCCATAATTAACGGCCACTTTTGCTTCCTCGAATTCCCAACTAATTCGACCCCAAAATAACGGCCGCCCCCGTTTACCCCGATGTAGCCCCAAAATAAAGACCACACCCCCTTTTTCCACGATTTTCCGACATTCGGGGCCATAAATTACCCTTACCTCTCGCTGTTCTTCGTCGTGTGGCTTCCATTTGGTGCGCATCGTCGGCGTACTGACTACTTTTCCTTGTTTTCATTTCGCAGCAGAGCAGTTCGTTCCGTGTTTCCTGTTGATGATTCAAGATTTCAATACTATCACAAGGCAATAAGATGTGTCTCACTGAAGGGACAAGAATGGAACTGTAAAATGTGTTCTTTGAATAAATAAATGGGAAAATAAATATCACAAGTACACTGAAGTTTTTATATAATCTCAACTAATTTTATTATTTCAAAGAAACATTGCTGATATAGCCAAATGCACAAAAATTCAATAAAATAATAGCTTTTGACGTCTGTGAGATAATAAATCGTTGGACATGATGAGCTGATTGGTGGGCATCCGGAGTTTGTGGAAAATCGCCTGTGAAAAATTAAAGGTAGTTAGAAAATAGACAGCAAAAACAATTATGTAAAAAATAGTGTGGCAAAGGTCCCCTTAAAATTTTGGGAAGGAGTGTGTTACCTATAGCTATATCCTTCTAACTATAGCCAGAAGGATATCAAGAAAAAAAATTCAGTTTACCCAAACAACTTACTAAAGAGGCAGCCCGACACCTTATCCAAGGCGTAAGGGTGAAAGAGGGTTAAAGTTGGACCAGGCATACTTTGAAAATTAGAGGGGTAACTTGGTGGGCACTTGGTTAAATGTCAAGGAAGCGTAAGAGGAATGTCACCTTTTAAAAAAATAAAAATTAAAAGTGATTTCAGCATAGTTCATGCTAAAGCGTAATAAACGGACGTAGCGCCTTGAGGGTCAAAAAGGCTAAGGCACTCCTTGAAATTTTATAAGGGATTGAGGATGTTGGTCAGGAAGAGAGAGAAGGCAAAGATGGGAGAGTTGAAAATCACTTAGAAATTAAATAGAAAATAAATATAAAATTTACTTACAAAAATATTAAGCAGGCTGCTTTACTCGATGTGAGTGGGTTGTTGAGGGTGGATTGAAAGTGAGGCACGCTTTGCGCATGATGTTGCTGCTCGGTGGGCTTGCATGGCTTGCTGAAAGACGAAAGAAGGGGCCAGAGGAACGTCACCTATTAAAAAAATAATAATTAAAAGCGATTCAAACAGGAGACAAGCGAAGGAGAAAAAGGTGGACGACGAGCCGAGTGGGACAAACAGGCCAAGGCACCCCTTGAAATTTTGTAAGGGATTGAGGATGTTGGTCAGGAAGAGAGAGAAGGCAAGGAAGGAAGATTTGAAGGTCACCCAGTAATTTAATCACAAATAAATCTAAAATTAATGTGAAAAGGAATGAGCCATCTACGTTAATCTGGGTTTAGGGGGTGGATGAGGGTGGAATTAGTGCAAGGCATGCTTTGAAAATGATGGGGCTGGTGCGTGGGCATGCAAGGATTGGTGAAATGTCAAGGAAGCGCGAGAGGAACGTCACCTATTAAAAAAATAAAAATTAAAAGTGATTTCAGCATAGTTCATGCTAAAGCGTAAATAACGGACGTAGCGCCTTGAGGGTCAAAAAGGCCAAGGCACCCCTTGAAATTTTGTAAGGGATTGAGGATGTTGGTCAGGAAGAGAGAGAAGGCAAAGATGGGAGAGTTGAAGGTCACTTAGAAATTAAATAGAAAATAAATATAAAATTTACTTACAAAAATATTAAGCCGGCTGCTTTACTCGATGTGCGTGGGTTGTTGAGGGTGGATTGAAAGAGAGGCACGCTTTGCAAATGATGTTGCTGCTCGGTGGGCTTGCATGGCTTGCTGAAAGACCAAAGAAGGGCCAGAGGAACGTCACCTATTAAAAAAATAAACATTAAAAGTGATTTCAGCATAGTTCATGCTAAAGCGTAAATAACGGACGTAGCGCCTTGAGTGTCAAAAAGGCCAAGGCACCCCTTGAAAGTTTGTAAGGGATTGAGGATGTTTGTCAGGAAGAGAGAGAAGGCAAGGAAGGAAGATTTGAAGGTCACTTAGAAATTAAATAGAAAATAAATATAAAATTTACTTACAAAAATATTAAGCCGGCTGCTTTACTCGATGTGCGTGGGTTGTTGAGGGTGGATTGAAAGTGAGGCACGCTTTGCAAATGATGTTGCTTCTCGGTGGGCTTGCATGGCTTGCTGAAAGACCAAAGAAGGGCCAGAGGAACGTCACCTGTTAAAAAAATAATAATTAAAAGCGATTCAAACAGGAGACGAGCGAAGGAGAAAAAGGTGGACGACGAGCCGAGTGGGACAAACAGGCCAAGGCACCCCTTGAAATTTTGTAAGGGATTGAGGATGTTGGTCAGGAAGAGAGAGAAGGCAAGGAAGGAAGATTTGAAGGTCACCCAGTAATTTAATCACAAATAAATCTAAAATTAATGTGAAAAGGAATGAGCCATCTACGTTAATCTGGGTTTAGGGGGTGGATGAGGGTGGAATTAGTGCAAGGCATGCTTTGAAAATGATGGGGCTGGTGCGTGGGCATGCAAGGATTGTTGAAATGTCAAGGAAGCGCGAGAGGAACGTCACCTATTAAAAAAATAAAAATTAAAAGTGATTTCAGCATAGTTCATGCTAAAGCGTAAATAACGGACGTAGCGCCTTGAGGGTCAAAAAGGCCAAGGCACCCCTTGAAATTTTGTAAGGGATCGAGGATGTTGGTCATGAAGAGAGAGAAGGCAAAGATGGGAGAGTTGAAGGTCACTTAGAAATTAAATAGAAAATAAATATAAAATTTACTTACAAAAATATTAAGCCGGCTGCTTTACTCGATGTGCGTGGGTTGTTGAGGGTGGATTGAAAGTGAGGCACGCTTTGCAAATGATGTTGCTGCTCGGTGGGCTTGCATGGCTTGCTGAAAGACCATAGAAGGGCCAGAGGAACGTCACCTGTTAAAAAAATAATAATTAAAAGCGATTCAAACAGGAGACGAGCGAAGGAGAAAAAGGTGGACGACGAGCCGAGTGGGACAAACAGGCCAAGGCACCCCTTGAAATTTTGTAAGGGATTGAGGATGTTGGTCAGGAAGAGAGAGAAGGCAAGGAAGGAAGATTTGAAGGTCACCCAGTAATTTAATCACAAATAAATCTAAAATTAATGTGAAAAGGAATGAGCCATCTACGTTAATCTGGGTTTAGGGGGTGGATGAGGGTGGAATTAGTGCAAGGCATGCTTTGAAAATGATGGGGCTGGTGCGTGGGCATGCAAGGATTGGTGAAATGTCAAGGAAGCGCGAGAGGAACGTCACCTATTAAAAAAATAAAAATTAAAAGTGATTTCAGCATAGTTCATGCTAAAGCGTAAATAACGGACGTAGCGCCTTGAGGGTCAAAAAGGCCAAGGCACCCCTTGAAATTTTGTAAGGGATTGAGGATGTTGGTCAGGAAGAGAGAGAAGGCAAAGATGGGAGAGTTGAAGGTCACTTAGAAATTAAATAGAAAATAAATATAAAATTTACTTACAAAAATATTAAGCCGGCTGCTTTACTCGATGTGCGTGGGTTGTTGAGGGTGGATTGAAAGTGAGGCACGCTTTGCAAATGATGTTGCTGCTCGGTGGGCTTGCATGGCTTGCTGAAAGACCAAAGAAGGGCCAGAGGAACGTCACCTGTTAAAAAAATAATAATTAAAAGCGATTCAAACAGGAGACGAGCGAAGGAGAAAAAGGTGGACGACGAGCCGAGTGGGACAAACAGTCCAAGGCACCCCTTGAAATATTGTAAGGGATTGAGGATGTTTGTCAGGAAGAGAGAGAAGGCAAGGAAGGAAGATTTGAAGGTTACCCAGTAATTTAATCACAAATAAATCTAAAATTAATGTGAAAAGGAATGAGCCATCTACGTTAATCTGGGTTTAGGGGGTGGATGAGGGTGGAATTAGTGCAAGGCATGCTTTGAAAATGATGGGGCTGGTGCGTGGGCATGCAAGGATTGGTGAAATGTCAAGGAAGCGCGAGAGGAACGTCACCTATTAAAAAAATAAAAATTAAAAGTGATTTCAGCATAGTTCATGCTAAAGCGTAAATAACGGACGTAGCGCCTTGAGGGTCAAAAAGGCCAAGGCACCCCTTGAAATTTTGTAAGGGATTGAGGATGTTGGTCAGGAAGAGAGAGAAGGCAAAGATGGGAGAGTTGAAGGTCACTTAGAAATTAAATAGAAAATAAATATAAAATTTACTTACAAAAATATTAAGCCGGCTGCTTTACTCGATGTGCGTGGGTTGTTGAGGGTGGATTGAAAGTGAGGCACGCTTTGCAAATGATGTTGCTGCTCGGTGGGCTTGCATGGCTTGCTGAAAGACCAAAGAAGGGCCAGAGGAACGTCACCTGTTAAAAAAATAATAATTAAAAGCGATTCAAACAGGAGACGAGCGAAGGAGAAAAAGGTGGACGACGAGCCGAGTGGGACAAACAGGCCAAGGCACCCCTTGAAATTTTGTAAGGGATTGAGGATGTTGGTCAGGAAGAGAGAGAAGGCAAGGAAGGAAGATTTGAAGGTCACCCAGTAATTTAATCACAAATAAATCTAAAATTAATGTGAAAAGGAATGAGCCATCTACGTTAATCTGGGTTTAGGGGGTGGATGAGGGTGGAATTAGTGCAAGGCATGCTTTGAAAATGATGGGGCTGGTGCGTGGGCATGCAAGGATTGGTGAAATGTCAAGGAAGCGCGAGAGGAACGTCACCTATTAAAAAAATAAAAATTAAAAGTGATTTCAGCATAGTTCATGCTTAAGCGTAAATAACGGACGTAGCGCCTTGAGGGTCAAAAAGGCCAAGGCACCCCTTGAAATTTTGTAAGGGATTGAGGAAGTTGGTCAGGAAGAGAGAGAAGGCAAAGATGGGAGAGTTGAAGGTCACTTAGAAATTAAATAGAAAATAAATATAAAATTTACTTACAAAAATATTAAGCCGGCTGCTTTACTCGATGTGCGTGGGTTGTTGAGGGTGGATTGAAAGAGAGGCACGCTTTGCAAATGATGTTGCTGCTCGGTGGGCTTGCATGGCTTGCTGAAAGACCAAAGAAGGGCCAGAGGAACGTCACCTATTAAAAAAATAAACATTAAAAGTGATTTCAGCATAGTTCATGCTAAAGCGTAAATAACGGACGTAGCGCCTTGAGTGTCAAAAAGGCCAAGGCACCCCTTGAAAGTTTGTAAGGGATTGAGGATGTTTGTCAGGAAGAGAGAGAAGGCAAGGAAGGAAGATTTGAAGGTCACTTAGAAATTAAATAGAAAATAAATATAAAATTTACTTACAAAAATATTAAGCCGGCTGCTTTACTCGATGTGCGTGGGTTGTTGAGGGTGGATTGAAAGTGAGGCACGCTTTGCAAATGATGTTGCTGCTCGGTGGGCTTGCATGGCTTGCTGAAAGACCAAAGAAGGGCCAGAGGAACGTCACCTGTTAAAAAAATAATAATTAAAAGCGATTCAAACAGGAGACGAGCGAAGGAGAAAAAGGTGGACGACGAGCCGAGTGGGACAAACAGGCCAAGGCACCCCTTGAAATTTTGTAAGGGATTGAGGATGTTGGTCAGGAAGAGAGAGAAGGCAAGGAAGGAAGATTTGAAGGTCACCCAGTAATTTAATCACAAATAAATCTAAAATTAATGTGAAAAGGAATGAGCCATCTACGTTAATCTGGGTTTAGGGGGTGGATGAGGGTGGAATTAGTGCAAGGCATGCTTTGAAAATGATGGGGCTGGTGCGTGGGCATGCAAGGATTGTTGAAATGTCAAGGAAGCGCGAGAGGAACGTCACCTATTAAAAAAATAAAAATTAAAAGTGATTTCAGCATAGTTCATGCTAAAGCGTAAATAACGGACGTAGCGCCTTGAGGGTCAAAAAGGCCAAGGCACCCCTTGAAATTTTGTAAGGGATCGAGGATGTTGGTCATGAAGAGAGAGAAGGCAAAGATGGGAGAGTTGAAGGTCACTTAGAAATTAAATAGAAAATAAATATAAAATTTACTTACAAAAATATTAAGCCGGCTGCTTTACTCGATGTGCGTGGGTTGTTGAGGGTGGATTGAAAGTGAGGCACGCTTTGCAAATGATGTTGCTGCTCGGTGGGCTTGCATGGCTTGCTGAAAGACCAAAGAAGGGCCAGAGGAACGTCACCTGTTAAAAAAATAATAATTAAAAGTGATTCAAACAGGAGACGAGCGAAGGAGAAAAAGGTGGACGACGAGCCGAGTGGGACAAACAGGCCAAGGCACCCCTTGAAATTTTGTAAGGGATTGAGGATGTTGGTCAGGAAGAGAGAGAAGGCAAGGAAGGAAGATTTGAAGGTCACCCAGTAATTTAATCACAAATAAATCTAAAATTAATGTGAAAAGGAATGAGCCATCTACGTTAATCTGGGTTTAGGGGGTGGATGAGGGTGGAATTAGTGCAAGGCATGCTTTGAAAATGATGGGGCTGGTGCGTGGGCATGCAAGGATTGGTGAAATGTCAAGGAAGCGCGAGAGGAACGTCACCTATTAAAAAAATAAAATTTAAAAGTGATTTCAGCATAGTTCATGCTAAAGCGTAAATAACGGACGTAGCGCCTTGAGGGTCAAAAAGGCCAAGGCACCCCTTGAAATTTTGTAAGGGATTGAGGATGTTGGTCAGGAAGAGAGAGAAGGCAAAGATGGGAGAGTTGAAGGTCACTTAAAAATTAAATAGAAAATAAATATAAAATTTACTTACAAAAATATTAAGCCGGCTGCTTTACTCGATGTGCGTGGGTTGTTGAGGGTGGATTGAAAGTGAGGCACGCTTTGCAAATGATGTTGCTGCTCGGTGGGCTTGCATGGCTTGCTGAAAGACCAAAGAAGGGCCAGAGGAACGTCACCTGTTAAAAAAATAATAATTAAAAGCGATTCAAACAGGAGACGAGCGAAGGAGAAAAAGGTGGACGACGAGCCGAGTGGGACAAACAGTCCAAGGCACCCCTTGAAATATTGTAAGGGATTGAGGATGTTTGTCAGGAAGAGAGAGAAGGCAAGGAAGGAAGATTTGAAGGTTACCCAGTAATTTAATCACAAATAAATCTAAAATTAATGTGAAAAGGAATGAGCCATCTACGTTAATCTGGGTTTAGGGGGTGGATGAGGGTGGAATTAGTGCAAGGCATGCTTTGAAAATGATGGGGCTGGTGCGTGGGCATGCAAGGATTGGTGAAATGTCAAGGAAGCGCGAGAGGAACGTCACCTATTAAAAAAATAAAAATTAAAAGTGATTTCAGCATAGTTCATGCTAAAGCGTAAATAACGGACGTAGCGCCTTGAGGGTCAAAAAGGCCAAGGCACCCCTTGAAATTTTGTAAGGGATTGAGGATGTTGGTCAGGAAGAGAGAGAAGGCAAAGATGGGAGAGTTGAAGGTCACTTAGAAATTAAATAGAAAATAAATATAAAATTTACTTACAAAAATATTAAGCCGGCTGCTTTACTCGATGTGCGTGGGTTGTTGAGGGTGGATTGAAAGTGAGGCACGCTTTGCAAATGATGTTGCTGCTCGGTGGGCTTGCATGGCTTGCTGAAAGACCAAAGAAGGGCCAGAGGAACGTCACCTGTTAAAAAAATAATAATTAAAAGCGATTCAAACAGGAGACGAGCGAAGGAGAAAAAGGTGGACGACGAGCCGAGTGGGACAAACAGGCCAAGGCACCCCTTGAAATTTTGTAAGGGATTGAGGATGTTGGTCAGGAAGAGAGAGAAGGCAAGGAAGGAAGATTTGAAGGTCACCCAGTAATTTAATCACAAATAAATCTAAAATTAATGTGAAAAGGAATGAGCCATCTACGTTAATCTGGGTTTAGGGGGTGGATTGAGGGTGGAATTAGTGCAAGGCATGCTTTGAAAATGATGGGGCTGGTGCGTGGGCATGCAAGGATTGGTGAAATGTCAAGGAAGCGCGAGAGGAACGTCACCTATTAAAAAAATAAAAATTAAAAGTGATTTCAGCATAGTTCATGCTAAAGCGTAAATAACGGACGTAGCGCCTTGAGGGTCAAAAAGGCCAAGGCACCCCTTGAAATTTTGTAAGGGATTGAGGATGTTGGTCAGGAAGAGAGAGAAGGCAAAGATGGGAGAGTTGAAGGTCACTTAGAAATTAAATAGAAAATAAATATAAAATTTACTTACAAAAATATTAAGCCGGCTGCTTTACTCGATGTGCGTGGGTTGTTGAGGGTGGATTGAAAGAGAGGCACGCTTTGCAAATGATGTTGCTGCTCGGTGGGCTTGCATGGCTTGCTGAAAGACCAAAGAAGGGCCAGAGGAACGTCACCTGTTAAAAAAATAATAATTAAAAGCGATTCAAACAGGAGACGAGCGAAGGAGAAAAAGGTGGACGACGAGCCGAGTGGGACAAACAGGCCAAGGCACCCCTTGAAATTTTGTAAGGGATTGAGGATGTTGGTCAGGAAGAGAGAGAAGGCAAGGAAGGAAGATTTGAAGGTCACCCAGTAATTTAATCACAAATAAATCTAAAATTAATGTGAAAAGGAATGAGCCATCTACGTTAATCTGGGTTTAGGGGGTGGATGAGGGTGGAATTAGTGCAAGGCATGCTTTGAAAATGATGGGGCTGGTGCGTGGGCATGCAAGGATTGGTGAAATGTCAAGGAAGCGCGAGAGGAACGTCACCTATTAAAAAAATAAAAATTAAAAGTGATTTCAGCATAGTTCATGCTAAAGCGTAAATAACGGACGTAGCGCCTTGAGGGTCAAAAAGGCCAAGGCACCCCTTGAAATTTTGTAAGGGATTGAGGATGTTGGTCAGGAAGAGAGAGAAGGCAAAGATGGGAGAGTTGAAGGTCACTTAGAAATTAAATAGAAAATAAATATAAAATTTACTTACAAAAATATTAAGCCGGCTGCTTTACTCGATGTGCGTGGGTTGTTGAGGGTGGATTGAAAGAGAGGCACGCTTTGCAAATGATGTTGCTGCTCGGTGGGCTTGCATGGCTTGCTGAAAGACCAAAGAAGGGCCAGAGGAACGTCACCTATTAAAAAAATAAACATTAAAAGTGATTTCAGCATAGTTCATGCTAAAGCGTAAATAACGGACGTAGCGCCTTGAGTGTCAAAAAGGCCAAGGCACCCCTTGAAAGTTTGTAAGGGATTGAGGATGTTTGTCAGGAAGAGAGAGAAGGCAAGGAAGGAAGATTTGAAGGTCACTTAGAAATTAAATAGAAAATAAATATAAAATTTACTTACAAAAATATTAAGCCGGCTGCTTTACTCGATGTGCGTGGGTTGTTGAGGGTGGATTGAAAGTGAGGCACGCTTTGCAAATGATGTTGCTTCTCGGTGGGCTTGCATGGCTTGCTGAAAGACCAAAGAAGGGCCAGAGGAACGTCACCTGTTAAAAAAATAATAATTAAAAGCGATTCAAACAGGAGACGAGCGAAGGAGAAAAAGGTGGACGACGAGCCGAGTGGGACAAACAGGCCAAGGCACCCCTTGAAATTTTGTAAGGGATTGAGGATGTTGGTCAGGAAGAGAGAGAAGGCAAGGAAGGAAGATTTGAAGGTCACCCAGTAATTTAATCACAAATAAATCTAAAATTAATGTGAAAAGGAATGAGCCATCTACGTTAATCTGGGTTTAGGGGGTGGATGAGGGTGGAATTAGTGCAAGGCATGCTTTGAAAATGATGGGGCTGGTGCGTGGGCATGCAAGGATTGGTGAAATGTCAAGGAAGCGCGAGAGGAACGTCACCTATTAAAAAAATAAAAATTAAAAGTGATTTCAGCATAGTTCATGCTAAAGCGTAAATAACGGACGTAGCGCCTTGAGGGTCAAAAAGGCCAAGGCACCCCTTGAAATTTTGTAAGGGATTGAGGATGTTGGTCAGGAAGAGAGAGAAGGCAAAGATGGGAGAGTTGAAGGTCACTTAGAAATTAAATAGAAAATAAATATAAAATTTACTTACAAAAATATTAAGCCGGCTGCTTTACTCGATGTGCGTGGGTTGTTGAGGGTGGATTGAAAGTGAGGCACGCTTTGCAAATGATGTTGCTGCTCGGTGGGCTTGCATGGCTTGC